AAATTTTTTAGAAGAAAAAACCCTATATGTATATAAAAAATAAAGTTAGATACAAAGAAGGATAAAATGTGACTATAATAATGGAGGCTTAAAAAGATTTTTTGTAGAAAGATATTGTTAAGATAAACTATGTTTATCTTAAAATTAAGTTTAAACTAAGACTTAAAACTAAGTTTAAAAATGTTAAAAGAGGAAAGAGGAAAAGTTAAAAAAGTTAGAATAAGAAAAAAATAAAATTAAGAAAACTTAATTAACTTCTCGAGACTAAAGAATCATGAGGAGAAAGCCATGAATTCCATGCTTTGCTTTCCCCTCCTCGGGAATTCCGATGTTCTCCTTGATCAGTGAGCTTGGTCTTGGCTGGATGTTCTTGCTGATCTTCTGTGGGAGGGGCCTGTTGTAGTGATTCTCAAATGTCTTTGCCTGAGGCAGAATTGCGCTGCCCTTGCCAGGGGTCGGGCTAAGTAATATGCTTGGGTTCCCTCTTGGGAGCTTTTATTCCCTGTCTGCTTTCCATACCGCTTGGAGGATGGGAATGAAAATGGCAGCCTCCCAATCTCTGGCCCGGAGGAGCTGAGAGCTCGGTGCCCCACTCCTCAGTGGGCCCTCGGAGAAAAGCGCTCAATCCCTCCTGTCTCCCTGGTCTCCGACTGCACTTGGGCACACCCGGCCTGTGACTGATCATTTCTGTCTCTGGCACACAGCCCCATTTGGAGTCTCCAAATCCAGCAGCTTCCTGCCTCCAGAGAAGGAAGGCGAGTCTCCCCGCATCTGCCACTTGTGGGGTCCCTGCTCAAAGAGCAGTGGTCTGACTGTGCCGCGGATCATGGTTTAAGTTAACCCCAAGCTGAGAGCTCACTCCTTGGCTCCGTCTCTGTAGTCGGCTTCCCCACTCTGATACCTGGGAGCTCTGCTACACTCAGACACCCTTGATCCTTCTGTTACCCCTTGGGACCTGAGACCACACTGTCCCCACGAGGGCTCCACCCCCACTTTAGCCTCTGGAGTGATATCCCTCAGTGGAGCAGACTTTTAAAAGTTTGAATTTTGTTCTCTGCAGCTCCACCACTTGCCAGGAGCCGGCACCTCCCCGCACAGCCCCTGCAATCTATCTTTCCGTCGCTTTGGATTCATTTCTCCACACATCCTACCTTTCAGAAAGTGGTCGATTTTCTGTTTCTAGAATTGCTGCTCTTCTTCTCTTTGATCTCCTGTTGGGCTTGTAGGTGTTCCAAATGCTTAGGTAACTATCTAGCTGAACTCCTGCGACCTGATGTCATCTCAGTCTGCTGCTCCTCTGCCATCTTGGCTCCTCTATTCATTTATTTACTTTTTAAAGCCCCTTACTTACATTGATTATTTGTGAGGTTTAAAACATCGTGAGCAAGAATGAGTTAAAAATGATTTTCCCTTTTAATTAAAAAGGAATCAAGAACATCATGGTGATGTTTAATTTCTTCCAAAGCGAACACAAGACAATCAATAGCATTTCTTGATACAGATGCTACACGAAATTGAAATGAAAGCCAGTCCTAACACAGTGAGTTAGACAAAGGTAACATGGCTCAGGCCAGAAAAACCTCCTGCTTAACTGGGAATGGTCCTAGAAATAACTAGGATTAGACATCCTTGCACTGTGGATTTGAATAAAACTTTTATGAGGCAGTAAATGAATCCCCAGGGACATTTTAATCTCTTATACTAACATTTTATTTTTTAGTGTAAGTCCTAATGGAGAGATGGTTACAGTGGTAGGAACAAAATGTCTGTTGCTATTTTTAATTTAACCAATATCGTCACTACTAATTAATACTTAATTATTTTGGTTTTGGCTCTTCTGTATCCAAATAAATTATCTCAATTTGACTCTACTGGATAGAATTTTGCCATTTAATAGATCTGACACAGACATGGATTGATAACAACAAAGTGGATGATAGCTAAATTAGATACATGAAACAACAGAATGAATATTGGTAAATATTAAATAAATGCAGGGTTGTACAAATCCAATCAATAATGAATAGTGTTTGGGAACAACAGCAAAAAACTGGACTCAAAGACAGATTTAAGAGTTCTCATTCCAGCCTATTCCTCTAATGATCTATGTGACTCTGAGTATATCGCCTTCTTGGGGCCTCAGGGCCTTTGAGCCTCGTCTATATTTCTGTATGGGGAGGTGCTTATGTTACATATTCCCTGACATTCAGTGGTGGCCCTTTTGGTTTCTATTAACTATATTCTGCCTTTTAAAATCTTTTTAATATCAACTCTTAATCCCAGATTCACATGTAAATGAAGAAGGCTTCCCTCTTTCACTGTTTCCCCAATAAGGGCCAGAATATTTTGGGGGGGTCTGGGTGGCTCAGTCAGTTAAGCCTCTGCCTTGGGCTCCAGTCATGATTTTAGGGTTTTGGTAATGAGCCTCACATCTGCTTCTCCCTCTCCCTCTGCCCTTTTCCCCTGCTTCTGCTCTCTCTCTCTCTCAAATAAATAAAGTGCTTTAAAAAAAAAAAAAGCCAGGATATTCTAACTTTTAGGTAATCGATTGGTTTTAAGGGTTTGATTGTTGTTAAATTACATACATCCCTGGGAATTGGTAAATTTTAAATAATTAGACATTCACATTTCAGTAAAATGGCAAGTGAAAAAGCAGCAAACTTTACTTTATAGTCACCTGATACTTTGTGGTTAAGACTACCAGCTATCTCCCAATACCTGTTCTTCCTTTCTATTGTGATGAAATTCCTGATTTTCAACTGGGCAAATGTTCACCCAGAATGGGGGTCACATTTCTCAGCCTTTGCCTTGCAATCAGGTTTATGATCACAAGATTAAGTTCTAGGCACGATGATCTAAGAGCCCTGGTGTATTTAATGGAATTGGGGAATGCCTGTCATCCTTCCTTCTTGCTGGGTACAATGTGAATGTGAGAACTGGAGCTTCAGCAGTTATCTGGTGACCTTGAGAATGAAACTCATAGATGGTGGCTTGATTCTAAACAAAGCTGAAGCGCCCTTGCTTCGACTTTAGGGAGATAATCAGCTCTAGTCCACTTTTGTTTGTTTAATTAATCCCAGGATAGTTTCTTTCTTCCTTCCTTCCTTCCTTCCTTCCTTCCTTCCTTCCTTTCTTTCTTTCTTTCTTTCTTTCTTTCTTTCTTTCTTTCTTTCTTTCTTTCTTTCTTTCTTTTTTCTTTAATTCCCCCTACCCAGTTAAATACACCCAACTAAAATATGAGAAACAGGATGGAATTAAGTTCCCCAAAACTTTTGCAACTCTCTTTTTTTCACAACTTGATTTTCATGGGTTCTCTCACAAATAAAAGACATGCTAGAAAACTGAGAAAGACTTCATTTTTAGAAAATGTTAAGAAGGCATGAACTTCTCAAAGAATAGTAAATCTAACACATCATTTGGAACATTTAAATATGTTCTATGATAACAGACTCTGAATTCTGAGAATTTTAGAAAGTAGTGATAGTATAAATATTACAGGAAATTCTTCTGAAGAATGTAGCTGTACAGATTTTTATTATTAAATTCTAAATAAGTATATAAGTGTCATTATTTTTTTGGCACTTCTCTTTGGCAAAAATATACAAAGCTTAATTAATCTTTTTAAATTAATTAATTAATTAAATTAATCTTTTTTAAAAAGTACAGAAGTCTTAACTTCTAATTAGTGCTTCAATGAAATATAGTGATACTAGGTTCCCTTTACCTTTTGTTATTAATTAATTTAAATGAAATTGCTCTAACCATCACATAACTTCAACTATGCATGGAACATTTTAAATTTTATTTTCTGAGAAGTTGTAAAAACTATTTACCTAGGCCATATCATATTCCATTCTCAGTGACCACAAAATTAGAAAACAGATCTCAGATTTCTTTAGAAAAACAGAATACAAAACCAAAACAAAATAAAACTAATGAGGTATTTTGAACCCAGGAGGCTTCCAGTATATCATTGTTGCATTATGAGTCAATCTGTGAAATTTTTGAACATTTCTTACATACAAATTCTTTTAAGGTAGTCTTTCTCGAATGGAAATTGCTGGAGTATTTGTTTAAAATGCTAATTCCTGGACTTCTCATCACAAATAGTGAATCAGAGTCCCTATGCATATCTTGAGAATATGAATTTTAAATACCTAACCCCAAGAGATTTTAAAGCACATTTGAGTTTCAGAACCTCTGTTCCATTGTTTTGAGTAATGCAAAGAAGTTTCAAGCTGATTCGCATGCCTCTGAGCCAATATCAAGTTGATTCTTTTTCCATTCTGCCTCCAATTATAATCATTTCTGTTTTTCTTTTTTCTTTAATTTATTTTATATATCTTTTTATATATCTTTTTATAGTATATTTTATGTATCTTTTTATATATCTTTTTAATAGATATATATTTTTATATTTTTTTTTAATTTCTTTTCAGCATAACAGAATTCATTGTTTTTGCACCACACCCAGTGCCCTCCTTAATACCCTCCACCTGGCTCCCCCAAACCCCCCCCTTCAAAACCCTCAGATTGTTTTTCAGAGTCCATAGTCTCTCATGGTTCACCTCCCCTTCCAATTTCCCTCAACTCTGGACCTCATGCAAAAGTCAGGAATCATTACTGGACTGATTAACTCTTAAAGGGAGAGGGGTGTCCCTAGATAGGTACAGAGAACATGGATAGCACACATCTGAATCAAATTAGGGCGAAAATAAGTATGACAAAAGTAAGGTTAGATTTCAAAACCATTTTTGAACTCATCCGGGATGAGTACCTTGTAACGCAAGGAGTAACTGAATTAAAGAAAGAACAGGATAACTTAATAGAGGTCTCCTATCTCATTCTGTGACGGTGCTTCTGGGCTCTGGTGATGAATGTGTTCATTTTATGTGACTTGCTTTGGGTAAATAACCCAGTGCCCTATCAGCTCTCCAGCCCGCGGCCAGCAGCGCTTGTGTGTGCGCGCTAATGACGGTAGAAGGTGCTTGGGGGAGGGCCTCGGGAGGGGCTGCCCAGCGCAATCTCGCCCCTGGCACTTGCTAAGAGATTCTCAGCTTTTTCTCCGCAGCTGGCACTTGAAGACTCCACGCTTTCCCTCCAGAGGAAAGAAGCCATCTATCTAAATCAGCTGTACTCTCCACGTCCCCCGTTTCTCCCTCCGCCAGCCGCCACCCCCACCCCTTCCATTGTGTTGTGCGTTTAGCTCAGCTTCCTGTGTAAGACCCTAACCTCATTTGTAGGAGCAGGCGTTACTGAGAATTTCGGAACCTCGAGTTGCAATGGAGCTGTACGGAAAGGTGAGCCGAATGGAGTTTCTCCTGCATGCTCTGCGCGAAACGTCGCTTTGACGGACTTTGGGGTGTGTGTGTGTGTGTGTGTGCGCGCGCGCGCGCCTGCCTTGTCAATGCAATTGTGCGGGTGAACTACTTTCTTTATGTGTGTGCTATTCATCATCTTTCTTCCCCGTGTTTGTTGAGTGAGATTGTAAAACCACCCCACTCTGCTTATAGATACATGTAAACTTTCCCGTTTCGGGATTAGGAGGTGTAGGGCGAAGAGTCCCAGAACGCAGCTCCGGTTTTCCTTGTATCGGGAATTAGCACAAGGTAGTGCGTTTCCTAACCAGAAAATCACAGTCTAGCCACGGAAATCTGTGAGTAGAAAGGGAAAATTCCCCGCTGATATGAGCTGGAGTCACTTTCTCCTGAGCCTCGCAAAGAAATTGGCTGGGAGGCTCCGAGCAGTCACAACCAGGAGCTATTCCAAGGGAGGCGAAGGGAGGCTCCGCGGCCAAGTCTGACTGGAGGAGCAGCCTCTTTAAATGCTTGCTTGCCGGGAGTTGTAGTTCAAGGCTCGCGGGTTTGCGAGAAAAACTCTGCGCGTTAAGACTACAAGTCCCAGGAGCGCTCGGGAATCCCGGCCAGTACGCGTGTGCGGCGCCAAGGAGGGGACAGCTCCGGTGCTGATGTTGGAGCCGGTTAGTGAACCCCAAGAGTGCAGAGTGTGGAACGTGGAGCGCGCGGGCTGTGCATGCTTGACCCAGCGCCCTCGCCAGCGCTGTCTTAGCCAGAGAGAAAGGACATTTTGAGAACAATGAGACACGAAGCTCCTATGCAGGTGGGTCTATACAGAAAGTATGGCTTCAGGAGGAATTGAGACAGATGCTTTCTTCTCTCTCCAAGCACAAATTGTGCTCGACCTCAGGAAGGTCTAGGTTCTGACTCGGTCTTGGGGACACCGTTGGGTTCCTCTGTGCTCTGCGGGGCTGTGATTGGGTTGTCTTGATGAGGGATAGAAGTATTTAATATCTTCCCAGGCTCCGCAGGGAGGATGTGAATGTCCGTCTAAAATGTAAACCCGAGCAAACAAAAGTCAGGGGAACAGGCGGTCTGGTATTGCCATTGATCTTCCCTCCTGGCTGGCCTGGTTTGTGATCTCGGTGCAAATGCAGTGATTTCAGGTTTGGGATTGCGAGATCTCTATAGGAGTCGGGATGGAGCGAATTCCACTTGGTTAAGGGCGCGTTAAGAAAGGCTAAGACAATGTTAGGGTCCCCCAAAGTCTCTTGTCTTCAATTAGGGTCCTAGTAACATGGGGGAGAATAATAAACACATGCCAGAGGCACGGCAGCCTTTAATCTCTATCCACAAAACTAGTTTACTCTGCGTTTTGGAGAACCCCCTCTGAGGTATCCTGAGTGGTGTGCCCATTTGTTTTACGTTCCGATTCCCCATTCAGTTAGGTTTGGTTACTTTGACTTTGGTGGAAAGATGCCTCTGCCTAAGCATGTTGCTTAGGCAGATTTTGTTTTTAAGTAAAAATGAGTGGTGCTTTCTTCTTTGTATGCACAACCAGTTAGTGCTAAACATCAACCTGTGTTCATTAATCTAGCAGAGTGATCCTGTTGCCTAACAGAGGCACTTTATGAATGGGGCTGAGAAGATAATGGAATACACCATTTGGAACATGTTGTCTCTCTTGAGAACCCACCTCTGCTGCCAAATCTAACAATATAAATATTTGTTTTTAATACTTGCTTAAACGCTTCCCAGTTGTTTTCTTCACAAATCAAAGACTTTAAACATAAGCTGGTTTACTTTTAATTTATTTTATAGGTTATGTGATTTAACAGTGATATTAAGTGGAAAAAATCTGTAGAATTTAATTGTTTGTTGAGGGATTATATAACGGAAGCCATCAAATTACATTGTGAGCTATTGAAAATATGATTTGTTCTAAAAAACAGTGGTCCCATTGTGTATCTTCTAATACCTCTGTTTGTGACTTAGCTTTTCATTACCGACCTGATGTGAAAGGAATCTGGACAGACAATAAAGGTACAGGCTGTTGTAATCAAGATATATTGGCTTATGATAATTTTCCATTACTGGGGGTACTGCCAGGAACTGACTGGCTAAATTAATCATATTTGATTATAAGTAAACATTGACAGTAGACTTTACAAGTAGATTGTTAGTATTTAAAGTCAACCTCATATACGCACTGAAGTCTATCAAAATAGATTACTAAAAAAACTATGCTGCATCTGAATTTCTATTTTCTTAGAAGAGTTGCTTAGAATGTTCACAAGGCCATTAAAATGTTATAGACTGTATGAAATTAATGCCTTAGGAAGAATTTAAATCATTTCATATTAACTAGGTAGTAGGCACTATAATTCTCTATTTTATTCAGAACTTCAATGAATTATTGTAAAAATAGGTAATAAAATTAGTTTATTAGTGGATAAAGTTATTTTTATATTTGTATTATATTTTATTCATTGGGCTAGATTTTTGAAACTTAAAAATTAAATGTCCAAATAATATAATGAATTCTATGTATAATTTAAGAAATCAAAGACTTTTTTCTGAGGTATATTTAATTAAAACACATTCACTGATTTCATTTAAAAAGTAAATTTTTGCTATGATGACTATCAGATTTTCAAATGTATTATTATTCAGGGTTTCAAATATATACAATGATAAGAAGAATAAAAACTATAAACATGCTTTTATTTTCTTTAAGTGGCAAGTAATGTCTCAGTACCCATACTTCTGGAATATAATAATTTATTCCAGGTGACTTTGATACATGAAAATGCAAGAAGATAAGTAGTTGACATTTCTTTTTTTTCCTTTTTTTTTTAAAGACTGAACCACATCATCATTTGAGATATATGCCTCCAAATTTTTTATGTCGTTTCTGAAAAATGAGTCACAAGCAAATCCTTATTTTATAGTTCATTTATCCTAAGAAATTCTTTTCCCCATTCAAAAATATTTAGTCCATTTGTTGATGTGAAACAAAACAAGCTCTTTAATTGCTGGCTTCTTTATTTATTTTCTTATTTCAAGGAAACGTTTAAAAATTATGTAATGTTTTCTTAAAAAGCATTTGATATGCTTATATATATAGCTTAGTGGTCTGTTCAAGGTATAAGTCTTTGATATATGAATATTTTCTGAAGAATATTTCTCTCTGAATTGAAGCAAAATGAGGGATAATTGTTTTTTTATAGTAACTATTAAAATAATACATAATGATAGTCTCTGATGTCTATATTTCCTTTGTGACTAAATAACTAGGAATAGCATTTGGTTAGTGTTCCAAATAATGGGTTAGAATTTTAATATAGGAGATGGTCATTTTGTGTTTTCTCATTCATTGAGTCCATAAATCCTGAAGGCCAAATGAAATGGGGACTAGCAGTGCTCATGACTTGAGGGCAAATCTCTGATGAACAAATTGTCATTTGATTCAAGAGCCAGAAATAAACAAATCCTAGTTTATTTAGTGCTTTGTCTGTGCCAAGCACCATTCCTTACATTCAGGTCTCATTGTGTGTGTGTGTGTGAGAGAAAGATAGAGAGAGAGAGACACAGAGAGAGAGAGAGTGTGTGTGTGTGTAAAACAGAAAACAACCCTAGAGGTCACCATTACCCTAATTACAGTAAGGTACTGGAGCTTATTAAGATTAAATAACTTTTCCGACATGACAGAATCAAAATCTGCCAGATTTCTGTCTAGAAAGTCCGGGTTCTTTTTCTATTATTGTGTTCCTCAAGAAGACACACAGAGGTGATGTAAAGAACAAGGACCCTATTGATATAGTTTGCTTTCTGTCTCTGGAATTTCAATTTCTTGCAGATATACTTATTTTCTTGCAGGACCAAAGTGGGATCCATTGTCTCTCGTTAAATGCTTGTCTTTAGTGTTGTTATCTATAAGCTTTTGGGTCATCTCATAAATGTGTAGCCTTTGAACTATTTAGGAAATTAAAACAAACAAACAAAGAAACATTTACCCTAAGCATGAAGCAGAGTGGAAAAAAAAAAAAAAAAAGGTTGTTTGACTAAAAATGAGGAGGATTGAAGAAAGAATATAGATGTATGCTAAAGATGAAGTTGAGGTAAAAGCTATAATAGATATTAAATACAGTCATGCTTTATACAAAAACAACTCACAAAGGATTATAATCTAAATATCACTGTTTCATTTGGCTATGAAATGACATGGCATTCTGACCAAATCTAACCTTGTCATGATCCCTTTATCTTTATAAGAAATGAAAATTTAGTCTTCACCCCTACAGAAACAGAGAAAACTCCTAGTTGACATAAACACTTTCTGACTCTATTTAAACAAATTCTGGAAGTGTCTTTCTTCTGTAAAAGAAAGTGGAGTATAGAAAGTGGCATTAACTGTAGTAAAAATAAAACTTCATGATATAAGAATCATTTTCCTTTTCCACTTTTTCAGTCTAAGAAGTTGTGGATTTATTACATGGTGTAATCACAGTTTTTCTTTGCCACTCTAAGCTCGTAGTGGAACTGAAAATTCCTTTCCTGGCCATCATATTCCAAGAAAAAAAAATATTTTTATGCGAAGGAATGGGTTTTCCTAGGACTGGTGATACACAAAAAAGACCCAACCTAACAAACAGTTGTGTTACCTCAAAAGTGTTGTATAGGTAAAGGATTATCTAACCATTTTCTTCTTCTTTTTTTAATTCATTAATTGGTTTCAGAGGGTCTACAAGAACAATCTTAGTAGGTAACCATGACATGTGAAGATGAAATCTTTTAGATTTACTTGGAATTAGGTAGATTTCAGAATTTTTTCATTTATTTACAGTTTTTAGATATTAATGTATATTGAAATACACAAATCTTAAGTGAACAATTTTATGATTTTTGATACATGGATATACCTGTGTAACACACACTATTATAAAGATATAAAACATTTCCAACCAATCCCAGAAGTTCTTTCATTCATATTTTTTTCTAGT